AACCTAATAGACAATGAAAAATGAATAGTGATGCAAGTATACACCTTAAACACTATCGTTTATTACAAGTAATACAGTAAGATATCAGTTAACGATCTACAGGGAAAGTAAGCTCTAAAGTCTTTGAAAAAACAAATTAAAAAAGTCAGCTTCAAGGGACGAATCCGAAGAAATATCTCTGTGAGTGAATTTCAATTAAATAAGACAAATAAACATTAATTCAAAATGTAAGAGTGTAAAGTTCAGTTGAGACTTTGAAACAAACAATATGGAGGACGGGTGCTGCAATATATTTCAACTGAAGGTAATGTTTCAACATTTGATCCAATAGCTTAAGAAATAATGATAACATATAACCATCAACTTAAGAACACTCGGTCAGAGGTTGTCACAAACACCACTCCATACATCATAGCTCAAGTTGTCACCACTTGTGATATGGGCTATGACACATTCTTTCCTCTTAAATTGCATAGGCTAAGAAATACCATTCATCTTTTAGTATCTTGAAAAGATTACTTTCATGTCATTCAAGTGGTGTATGTATAATGGCTTAATTCCTTAAGTCCACACTTTAACACTTTTAGCAAGTGGCCACTTGTCAAGAAGTATGTTTAATCAATATGAACTTGAATGAGAAGTTGTAGCAAACATTAGTACATAAACAATATCCACTTCATGTAGTTTTGGGTCTCATTTTTCCTTTCCACCTAAGTTAAGGGATTAGCCCATCATTGCTTGGTTTGCTTGCATAGTGAAAGAAGAAAGCATTAAATATGAGCGATTAAAAGGAAGCAAGTAGATCATAACAAGTAAAAGAAAACTTGAAGAAATCGATCAGTAACCAAGAACAAAAGACAAGAGTTCCCACAACTTCAAATGGATTCAAAAGACTTGGTAACAAAAGCAAGAAAACATGAGAAATTGTTTAGAAACTTGTAGCTAAAACAACTAAGAAACTAGAAAACATGAACTTCAAAAGTAACTAAGCTTAGAACAAGCAAGTAACAACCAAAAGCATTAAGAGTATCCAAACATACTAAAAATCCCAACCAAAACTTCCTTTATGTAACACCCCCAAATCTATACATTGCATATAACACATATTTTCCACATAGGTCCATAATACAAGAGACTAAAATTTACATCTCAAAAATTCCAAAAAATACATGCTCTTGTATCTCTATATTTCTACTTTAAACATGGCTAAATAAGATCTTCATACAGCTTAAATACATAGGAAAATAATTCACAGAATGCTTTTCCCTTATTATCATTACCTGCACACATATTTTGAAAATGCAAAATGAGGGTTAGACATGAATGTCCAGTGAGGTTCCCTTTTTATGTAATATAGGGTGAAGATCACCAAAATATTTAAACCATCTTATATATTTGAAAGATAAAACCACACTCTGTTTGAATTCATCGGGCCTCTGGTTTCAAAATCAGACTTAGAAAATATTTTAACTTATAAGAGGACCAGAGCCCCTCTGGTTCCTTTGTCAAAGCTTCTGGTTCCTTCGACCAGAGCCTCTGATTGTACTAACAAAAGCCTCTGACTCAAGTAATTCCTTATAATATTCATTGTCTTGACTTTGTAAATAAAGAAATAGTTTCCCCATAACTAAAATGATTAAAAGAGAGTTCATGTTCAACCAGAGCCTCTGGTTGTACTAACCAGAGCTTCTGGTTCAACAGACATGACCAACCAGAGCCTCTGGTTCAACATGTAAGCCAACCAAAGCTCCTCTGGTCTGTTCTTTATAAAAGATTCTAAGTATAAACATTTTTCTTTAAAATTTCTCAAATACGATTTTTTGATACATAAGCTCTTATCAATAGATACAGAGCCTCTAGTCCAACTAGTACATTTAATAAGAACTCGTATATTTTCCAGGGTAATAACCAGAACCATCTGGTCTAATAGTGAGAACCAACCAGAGCTTCTCTGATTCCTCATGAAAGTGAACATTCTGTTCTAAAATACTTTTATCTAAAGTTAATGACCATAGACCATATTTTCCCATAACCATAACATAAATAATATTATTTCCAATAAGAACAACATCTCTGAATCCTCAATTCACCAAGAAGAGAGAACTCCAATCTGTTGTAATCTTAAGAGATATAATAACAAGAGTTATACCATGCACACACACAACGACCATCCTTCTTTCATCTATAATTTCCCCCTTTTATAGCAATATCTATCCATCACATACAACGACCATCCTTATTTCTCTTGAAAATTCTTATGAACTATTTCATCCAATGACAGGCTGCAGGCATTTCTGTCAGAGTGAACCTCGTTCATAGTTTTAATCAAATCATAATCTCAACACAGGTTTATATTCAAACCCTTCAGTCCGCAAGAACAATCTGTTCTACATATGATTTCTCAAATCATCTGTTCCTTTTTAAATCTTCAAAACAGGGTATCAAATTCAAAACTGCTCTTTAAAACACAGTTTCTGCTTAATCCTTTCAAAACCAATTCAAATTCCAGCATCTCAAAATGCTTCCTTTAAAACTGTTTAGAACAGATTTACCAAATTCTTTTAAATCTTTAGATCATCAATACTCAACAATTTTTATAAGATTAAACAGCAGATAGAAACTCACAGTTTGTAAATAGACAGTAATTTAAGAACTCACCTTAAATCAAAGGTTTCTGCAAATAATATCACACAACAAATCTTTTAAACGTAGGTTCTTTTTTTAAGAATTCCTTCTAAAATTTTTTCAAGAACTCCTTCACCACCTTTTAGATCTTTTTCTTTCTTTAAACACTCACTTTTGATAAAGGAGGAAACTGATAAGATCTTTATCTTATCCTTCCTCTTTTATACTTAAAAATGAGGCGATGATGGGTACTTTTACTAATATAAAAGTACTTGGGCGGTGGAGATAATATTTAAAAATTCAACCTTTCTTAACCGTAAGGTTTGAGTTTAAAAATAATATTTCTCATCACATGTATGCATAACAATCAGATTCCACTCATATGCACATTATCCATGCAAGTATTAACATAATTATGCATACTATCACATAATTCACATAATAAACACATAAAATTACCTCAACCCAAGTTTGTAGAAAACCTGGTTATAACGCTTTAAATACAATAGGAAGGTGACTTACAAATTAAAAGTGGATAAAAAGGTTATTATCAAATGGATGCTAGAAAAGTACTTTGTTTTTTTAACTAAGTACGACTAATAATACCAATAAACTTGGCTCAAAACAAACATTTTATTCTACAGAGATCTTCTAATTTCCAGCCTTCGATAACTTGAAAAAAAGTAATCCATAAAAGTCTTTGATCATCAAAATACCTACTTTGAAAATTTATCAGCTTGTCATACATGCTGCAACATTCCTTTAATCCTGCTGTAGCATCTCCTTCCTGCAAATTAGGGTCTAAAACACCACACAAATGCCCCGAAAAACATTAAATAATCCATTAGGCCCATTTAACTATGCAAATCCAATTAGATGGAAAATAATAAACAAATGGCTCAAGTAACGGCTTTAAAAGCAAAAACAAAGGGAAACATGGGAAAATGATGTTGTAGCAATGCAATTTGCAACACACATCAAACTACCACCTCAAAATGATGACTGTTATCCTTGGATTCACTTGAGGACTTGCTGGTAGAGGATGATTGTGAAATCGCATAGATGCCATCAATTATGAATAAATCCCAATCATTTACCTCTGTATTTATACTCAAGTTTGAACAGAGTGAGTTTGTGTATGTGTTGCATGTGACAATAACTTTTCAGAGAAAAAAAGGAAATAATCCTTTTTGTCTTCATGCAATAACAGAACTAAGAAGCAATTTTCAGTTTTCTTTCTTCAAGCATGACACCCTTTAACCAAGAATAGTAATGAGCTTCAACAGTGGCCACTACCTACTTAATATTGTCTACTATCATAAACAACTTCCTATCTTTGATTATGCTTTGTGGAAAGACGCAATTCAACTCTTTTTGGATCAGAGTTCACTTTCTTGACTCAAAATAGTATTACGGACCCATGATGATGGTTAAAAGGCAAAGTGGCATAATTTGACAAAAAATCAAAACAAAGGAACCACACATAATTCTAAAAAAACGAGAAAATGTGTGGGTTCATGTTATGGTGTGAAAATGGAAAATTATTTGATGATTGGAACTAGTTGAAACCGATTCATGTGAGTTCATGGCCATAAAATTCAATAGAATGAGGCTTAACGATTTCACAATCATTATGGTTGTGTTATTCTGCAGGATCATAAGGTTGATCACAATCCTCTGATGAGGTCAATGAATTGTGCTTGTAACGAATCATACGTTACTTGTGGTTGCATTCTTTTTTAATATATGAAATATGAACGACGAATGTGATTTTTATGTGGTGATCACATATGAATTTGATAAGAATCGTAAACCATATAATCACTTGGTACTATAGCTGCTTTAAAATGTTTTTATTTGTCATAGGCTAAGAAATCGAACCCGTGTTGAGCTAGAACATATGTTCAGGAATCAAGACTTTTATCGCACTTGGAATGATTTGATGTGGATATTCATTGTTGTAGGTTTCATCGTAAACGATCAGTTATATCGCACTCTGAATGTTTATCACTGATTGTGTTCTAAATTTGATCCCTCTACATATAATCGTGTTAATATTTACAAAACTGGAACGATTTAAATCAATTCACTTTTTTGGTCGTGGTTTGCTTATGATTCAGTCTGGTTATATACATGACATATTCTCAACTTTCAACCCTTAGCATGTGTTTGGTACACTGAATTGAGACATGACAGAACAAAACATGAATCTCGTAATCTTGTTATTACAAACTAATTTAAACATTTAATAAAATAATAATTTTATGATTAAATTACTCTAAAATAGTGTAGATAGAAGTAATGTATTAATTGGGGCATTAATAGTTTACTTTTTGGGTTATTTGTTCGTCATCTCCTAAAAGAAATCGCTGGAGCAGCCTGGATCCGAAGAAGAGAAGACAGTTGGTTGCATTGCCATTCACAATTCGATTCGCTCTCTCAAATCGCAGAGAAATCTCATAAACAACTGAGTAATCATCGTCGGTTTTTCCATCGATTCCAATAAAACCCTTTTTGCTTCAGATCTTTTGTCCATTTCTGATTCGATTACAGATCTTGTTTCCACCTCCTATGCATTTCATTTGTTTATGACTTCGATTTCTATCTTTTATCCTGGATCTTCGAATTCGATTACAGTAATTCGTTGATCATAAACTATTATATTGGTCGGCTCCTTAATTTACATGGCGGGTGGGGCACCGAATATGGATCAATTCGAGTTGTACTTTAAAAGAGCAGATGTAGATCAAGATGGACGTGTTAGTGGCTCTGAAGCTGTTTCCTTCTTTCAAGCCTCTGGTTTACCTAAGCCGGTTCTCGCTCAGGTAACTAACTTCTCGTAATTCTGCTTTCGTATTAGAATTTTGCATTCTCTGAAGTCAATCTCTACTTTGATTTCTTAAGACAGTCGTTTGATTGTTAAAATAAGTGCTAGAATGATGTGTAAGTGTATAAATCTTTTATCAGCTTCAGGTCAGATGTGGTTTGCTTATATCAGATATGAATTTGTATGAGTTACATTCAGCTGGGTTATGGTGCTTTTTGTTAAGAAGTAATATGCATCTTGCAATCTAGGATGGTCAGATTGATTAGAATTCTGCGTGTTTGGAGATAAGTGAGACATTGGTCAATACTAGATTATGTTCATGTAACAGAAAAAAAACTAATGTATGTTACAACCTGGAGGTCATATGTCGATAGGGCATGCATATAATAATTTGTAAGAGTTGCATAATCTATAAATTATCGTTATGTTTTGCTATATACACATACTCAGAATTCTAATTGGAAATTAAAAAACCAATTCATTCCAAGGCAAACAAAGAGGGAGCGATTCACCTGATCGACATTAAGAGTTCGACATTAAGAGTTCGCTCTCCAAACAACTCCACTCTGCTATTACCTCACTATACCATACTATGCTATGATAAGAAGAAGGATGCTTCCTTCTGCTACTATTGATTCAATTCCAATTTCAGTCTAATCATTCAATACATAAGAAGTGGTTAAGAATTGACATTTTTGAAGCTTGAACTTCTGATGCATCTTTGATTACCTGAATCAAGCCATGCTTGCTATCTGTGGAGATTTTATTTGTTGAGATGTGACTATGATATTTAGATTTTCACTTAAATCCTAGGCAATCCAGCTGTAACGTTCACATCTATATCCTTGACTAAGTCAAGAAAAGGACGAATTTCCCCTGTCATGCACGCAGACATGAAACACTTGAGGACTAAGGTCTGTGGCAAAGGGAATTTAAGGAGAGGTGAATCTTTGAACTGCTCGAGAGCTGGAAGATTGGGATATTATGACTTCCAATTCTTTTTACCAGCTTATAGAGGTAAGATGTACGCCTTTGATTGGGGGTTTTGACACGTCTACACACTGGTGAAGCTACTGGAGCTACAATTGGGTAGCTAGACAACCCGCCCAATGTTTCAAACTTGTTAAACCTGGTCAAACTAGTGGACGGAGTTCAAGGAACATAGTCTCTAAAGTAGGTTCATGCCCTTGTTTTGATATAAATGATTTGCTCTTCTACATCTAATGCATCCTCTAGGCACCTTTGGAAGTCAGGGGGTTTGATAAGGTAGATGCTTGCTTTTACTCCATAGCTGAGGACCTTTTCATCAGTTGTAGGGTTTGGTGGCCTGACGTTGACCGTATTATCTGTATTCTGATACTAGTAGTGTGAGATGACATTTTTAGTTATTTTATGGTATTTTTATGTGGACAGAAATACTCAGTTTGGGGTGTAATTGAGTGGCTATGCACCCCAAAAGTTTTGTAGGAGAATGGTATTCCTTAACCCTAATAGCTTGCTTTTGTGTTTTAAGTTATCTCTATGCATTTATTATCCTTCTTGTTTGTTTGATAGAAAAAAACTTCATTAGTATCGAATTGGAGTGTACCATGAAGATCACAAATCCACATAATAATAAAGTGGAAAAAGTACTGTAATTTAATTCACTAGGAAGCAACAAATTACTGAAAAAAAACTTGATACGGTAAGATATGAGAGAGGAGCTCTTCGCTCATTCTGATATTTGAGGATTTGAAACCTAGGTAGAAGCCCATTAGATACTCATTTCTGCCTTTCCACTTCAGTCGCATACAGGGTGAAGGACAATGCCGAATCGATAAAAAGGGTGACGCTGAAGGGGACATTCGAATCAAGATCTAGACTATCCTCTATCCGGATAGATATGCCCCCAATTCTGTATTTGTTGGGTTTAGGGAACCCCAACTTCTCTCCATATATTGCCTCCTGCACCTAGAAATCCATAATAGAAAACAATAATCCACCAAGTATTCCAACTGTTTATTTAGCACGATATGAGATTCTAATAGCACATTTTCAGTTGTCATTAGCTTGTAGCATATATTACGCTGTTTATGGAATTTCTTTGTAACATAATGATATTCAGTTAGTTAATCATAATAATTTCTGTGATAACATGGTTTTGAATAGTTCTGATAAGATATTAATCATTTTTGTGACTGGTTGAGGCTAATGGTTCTAAGGCACGGAAGGAGAGTTGACTTACTCTCTTGAGTAGGAGCAGGAATTATGCTAGCCTTGAGACTTATGATTACTCTCCTCTCTTAAAAGATATAGAAGTCTTCTATTTAGCTCTTCCCTCTCTGCAATTACTGAAGTTAAGTTCATCATAAAAGCATTAGCTGCTAAGACTAAATCTACTTATATCTCATGGTACATTCAGGTGTGAGATTGATTAAGTTTCAAGAACACATGTTTTTTTTTTTTTTTTCCTCCTCCTTTCTTTCCCTTTCCCTTAAAAAAGAGGTTTCAAGAACACAATGTTAGGTCTGTTGATTATTTATTTAACCTGCATGGCTTTTAGTTCACATCCATGCCCTAAATTCATGCCATTTATAACTCAAAGATCGTATGATGTTACTATATAAGGTTGAATATCATATGCTACTGCAATTTATCTAGAGTCCTTACTTCTCTATGTTTTATTCAATGTCCCTTGGTACTAACATTTTGTGACCCATTCTGTAGATATGGACAATTGCTGATCAAAATCGAACTGGTTACCTTGGGCGAGTTGAGTTTTACAATTATCTAAAACTTGTAACTGTTGCACAAAGTAAGCGAGACCTTACTCCAGATATTGTAAAAGCAGCATTATATGGACCTGCTTCAGCAAAAATTCCCGCTCCCCAGATTAATATCGGAGCGCTAGCTGCTCCCCAGTCAAACTTAAATGTGGGCCCACCGACTCCACAGATGGTTGGTAGCGGTCCAGCAGCATCTCAAGGTATTGGTATAAGAGGGTCACAGAGTTATTCACCGCAGCAAAGTCAAGTCATGAGGTCGCCTCACTCCCCACTTCCTAACACCACATTTCAATCACAGCATGGAGTGCCTGGTGGAGGCATGATGTTGACTTCTCGTCCTTCAGGGTCAACTCTCTCTGTGCAGCCTAGACCTGGAGTATCTTCTCAACTTCCTGGTACGCCTCTGGACGTCTTTGGGCTTGCGTCATCAGGGTCAACTCTTCCTGCACAGCCTAGACCACAAGGACCAACTAGCTTATTGCAAAATGCTGCACCCAAACCAAATGGTCCTAATTTGTCTGCTAGCGTGCCCGGAGCTAAAGATTCCAGCAGCCCTGTTGCAGGAAATGGGTTTGCATCTAACTCAGCATTCGGTGATACTTTTTCTGCTGCCCCATCTCAGGCAAAGACCAATTCTGTGGTTACTGCCCCCTCTGCAAGTGGCTTACCTGTCTCACCGCCTAATATTCCTCCCTCTGGTGGGACCCAATTACCCAATAAGCCAAGCCAACCTTTTCACAGCAATGTTTCTCACCCACCTACTGCGAGTCAGAACCAACAAATGCACTCAACTTTTAGACCTAATCAGCAAGTTCCGGTACAGAATTCTTCTGCATTGCCTGTCAGAGCTGAAAATTTTCCTTCTAGTCAATCCTCACAACCTTGGCCAAAGATGTCACAGTCCAGTGTCCAAAAGTATACCAAGGTTTTTATGGAAGTAGATACAGACAAAGATGGAAAAATTACTGGTGAACAGGCACGCAACCTGTTCTTGAGTTGGAGGTTGCCAAGAGGTAGGTGAAATTTCATTTTCTCTTGCTTTATTGAGTTTTGTAGTTATAAATTCAACTTAAAAGTACACCGTCTTAGATGAATTGGAAACTTTCTATTCTCCAGTTGCTTGAAAAAGTAGCATACTAAATAAGTGTACCTGAACAATTAGAGTCAAAGAAGGTACTTTTTAACTTCAAGATTGATATAAATCCATTTAACTTCGATTTAAAATTTGCATCCACATACAACGATATTTGACATCCAACAATACTAAGTGGATGTGTACAACGGAAAATAGGAGCAAGTTATTTTTGAAAGGAAAAAGAATACTAATCTGTTCCTTTTCTCCAACAAACTGAACTTGTCTGTCATTGAACTAAAAGTTTGTATGTAGTAGGTAGGCGAATTGAGAGGAGGCAGAGAAGTTTTTATTTATGTGAACCTAATCAAATTATGTTACATAACCCTCAAATACCATTATCTCATTTTCCCATAAAAGTGAATTGCAATCTGGATCAATTAATTGCACAGCAAAATGCCACCAAATTTTAAAACAAGACACAAGGAACTAATCTTCGAAGTGCTCTGTGCATGATTTATGAAGAGTAAGATGTACTATTGCTTTTCCATTATGTTTTTCAACCCTAAGCATATGGTTCTAGAGATTAGAAATAAGAAGCACAGATGACAAGTATTGAAGTTTTATATGTATAGATAGGCACATTGGGAAGTGATATGGTGCACGATAGCTTCTTGTTTTCAGTGAAGCTTTGGTCACTTTTTCTTAAAATGGTTTGTGGCTATCAAGCTGGGCTGTATTTAGATGATTACATCAACTCTCTTTAGAATAAGAAAACTCACCAGAATGACGCATGTGGATTGCTTTATTATTATGTTCTGCACCTATATATTTCTATGCTATCACAGGTTTGCCATCATCAATTTTCTTATATAAGAAATAGTTAATATGTAAAAAAATTCATACGTTTAAGAAAATACCAAAAGATACAAGCCAAAAGAGCATAGAAAACAATTAGTGGACCATCTGAGTTTAACTTAACTCATCTGGTGAAGGACAAACTACAAGATACGCAATTTATCAAATCTCTTGTTTCTTTTCTTTGGCAAGTATATGTATAACCAAAAACGTCAATACAAATATGAGGATGATATCCCAAAATAGCCTGAACAAGGATTTTGCTATCGACTCATCAAGTATATACATTGATACCAATTTTTCTCTAGTCCTGACAGAACTTCTAGTCTCAGCTAAGGACTATACTTTTCCTACTATACAGTAGGCATATAAGTATAGTTGAAGAAGCATGTTCGACTAATTATATTACTGCCCTATACTCTCCTTTTTTATATTCTAAAGATACAGTTTTAGATCTTTGGATAGACCTGTGAGAAGGGAGACTTTTTATGGGAGGAAGACTTTGAAAAGGTAGGAGAAGGCCACGGATAACATGAGGGAAGTTGTCAATAGAGACTTGAAGGATTGGAATTATCCAAGATATTGTGTTTACACAGGAGAGCATGGAAGGCCACTGTTCTTGTTCCTCAGATTTGATTGGTTTTGTTCTCTGTTTTCTTTATAATTATATACAATTTTTTCATGGGTTCCATTTCTACCACACACCGTTTGGTTTGAAATAAAAGGCTTGGCCGGTTGCCTAGAACACAAGACTTTCGAACTTGTTGAAGATCCTTGTGGGATGATATTTTGCTGTCAGAAATTCATCCTATTTTCTGGTTGAGATATGTTTATAATTATAACCTCATAACAGAAAAGTTGATCATTTTTGACCTCAGTTTACTTAAAAATGCTGAATAATGAAATATCACCAACCTATATTAAGGGGATTTAAGCATTCAAAGTTTCTAAGCAGAGTCTTCTACCCTAATTTTGTTTTCTTTTTTTGTTGTTTAGGCTATACTAGTTGCTTCTGGAAAACATATAACTTAGTTTTACGCTTGTTTACACTACTTACCGTCGCCATATATGCAATGATCATGATTATCGATAGAAAGAATGTCATTTTTGTAATTTCAACACAAAATCCATCTCGCTGTTGCTTGAAGCACACAGTCATCAAACAGTACATGCTTCTTCAAAAGCAGAACTGCTTAAAAGCACATAGTTTTCTTATAACAAAAAAGCAGGAAGACATGCTTATAAGCATTCTCAAGCAGTCCCTTAGTCCTCAAAACCGAAATTTTCACTGACCAAAGAAATCACAAAGGAATCACAAAGAAATCAAAGGGGTATTTCAAAGCACAAAGAAATCAAAGCCCACTTCTTCTTTGTTGCCATGTATTTTAGTGAGAAAATGAAATCTTGTTGAAGATCTAAGGGTACTTCAAATTCAGGGACTTTAGTTCATCGGTCCATCTACCCTAATGTTGTTTGCATTTGGGAATAGGTTACCGAAGCTCAGAGTGAGCATTCAGCAAAAACATTTTTGTCTCTGAAATTAACATTTTTGTTTCAACAATTTCTTGAATGGTCAAATTGAGTGCTGCTATATCATCTAACAAACTGCATTATCTTTATTCTTGTTGTTTCAGAGATCTTAAAGCAAGTGTGGGATTTGTCTGATCAGGACAATGACAGCATGCTTTCTCAGAAGGAATTTTGCATTGCTCTCTACCTTATGGAGCGGTTCAGGGAAGGGCGTCCTCTTCCAAAGGTTCTTCCAGCCAGTATTTTTGAGGGGACACCGTTACCTGTATCAGGTCAAGCACCTGCCACATATGGTGCTCCATTATGGAGACCTCCACCAGGTATATGCTAATATCTGTGTTGTGCGCCATTTTGCCAAGCGCAAGTGTCACTTAATCTTAGTTCTCTTACCATAGCTTGTACTATTTTTGTAGGCATCCCACAAGCACAGGGGGCGACGGTCCCCCGGCAGGTCACTCCTGCTGCAGCAAGGCCACCTCGTCCAGTTCCAGTTCCTATACCTGAGACGGATGAAGATATGCAACCTAGACAGCGTAAGCATACAGTTCCTGTGCTGGAGAAGCATCTAGTGGACCAACTTAGCACCGATGAGCAAAAATCATTGAATTCTAAGTTCCAGGATGCAACGGAGGCAGATAAAAAGGTATATATATTAAATTCCAGTTACTGTCAACTACCTCTGTGTAACACAAGTACCGGATTGTGGTCCTGCATCCAAGACTGGTTTAATACGGTCATTGGATTCCAGAACTAGTCCTCGGAAGCTGGCCTGGCAAACTTTAGCTTATTGGTTGGTTCAACTCTATAAGCACAGGCAGCTGTGTTGCAGACAGTGGAACTTTAGGATGGCTAGTAATAAGTGATTACCGAGTCGACAAAAGTAGTAAATCCAATCAATATATCTTCTTTTATCTCAGAAGTAGTGAGCAAAAAAACCTATCTTGTAAAAAAATATGTCAAAACACTAAGTTTCTTTTGGCTGCCTTTCAGTCCTAAATGTTTCTGTGAAAATTGCACAGTTGATTCTTCTGACCCCCTATTCTTTCTTTGCCTTACCCAGGTTGGTGAACTTGAAAAAGAGATACTAGAAGCTAAACAAAAAATTGAGTTCTACAGAAACAAGATGCAGGAAATTGTGAGTTCTCTGTCTCCTTTTATTTTATGTCGCCTTCATGTGTGGTGTGGATGGTATTTGACTTGAGTCAGCATTAACATTAGTCATGAAGGATTGAGAAACAGGGTTCTAGATTCATGCATTTTCTTAGGTGCATTAAACTTTAAAACCAGCCTGTATGATTGTTATGGTAGTGCTTCGTGGCTGTGGATTTGATGTTCTTAGATGTGCTGAAAGATGTTTTTCTTCAAGGGAAAAAGGTCAGGCAACCATGGCTGTTGCAGCAGTTTTCTTTTTTTACAAGAGAATTCTCAGAAATTTCATGGCCAATATCAATCTATTAAGCCCAACTTATGGTCAATTGAATGTGCAAAAGCTCACGAGCAGGGCCTGTAGTTCCTTTACCAGCATTTTCTTTAATGTTTCATTTATTTGGATAGGAAGTTCTTTCAGTAGAGTTTTAGATTTTGTTTGGATGAGAAGAAAATTTCTGGTTTATCAATTGCCATAGCAATTTTGGTATTATTGGGAACAAAAGGGAAAAAGTTATGATAAACTGTGGTACAATGGTTTGAAGTTGAAAAAGAATATTGGTCATTACTCATTACCCAATATGAAGTTTGAAAGTTAAGTAAATATTTTTAGAAAAAGATCTCTATTATCTTGTTTCAAAGGAAGATTCCTTGCTAAATCCATGGTGAGCCGTTTTGTCTAATGCTAGTGTATGCTTTAATGGATTTATTGATATTTTTTGGTGGTGTTCATTCTTCTAAAGCAGAAGAAACAAAATACCTGCTATGAGTACCAGGTGATGGAGGGGAAAATGTATCTAAAAATAAAAACTTTAGGTATCTGTACCCTGTCAAAATAAAGACCTCAGTTTCGAGAAATAATATCTTCTACCAAGACATTTTCCGAGGAAGAAAGATTGTTTCTCTTCTCCCTGCGGCTTTTAGTCATTTCTATAGCCTCTTTGTTTTTTTATTTATCAAACTTGGGGTGATGTTATTATGCATGGAAGTTGAGGTGTTAGTTATTCTTTTTTGGTCAATAATGGAAGTAATTATCCTTACCATCAGAATAAAAGCTTTTGTTTTCGACTAATCATAACATTATGGAACTGCAATTTGAAATTTTGACTTAAGCCTCAAAGTTACTCTGTGATCTCATTAGGACCCTTTTTGGGTTGTTCGTCATAAAGAGACTCTTAGTAGTGATATTTTAAGATCTCCTAGGGTATTGATTCTGGGTGTGTAGGTCTGATGACTCATCATGAACTTAAGTGGGAGAGTTCATGACAAATCATCCCACATTAATAGAGTGTGAGAAGTTTGAGCGACTTATAAGCCTCAAGTTATAGGCTACTAATGACTTTCACCATGGTTAAGTTAATTTAGAGGATATTAGGTGTATTTTCTACTCTAGGCTTGGGTGTTACAAATGGTATCATGGCACTAGTCTTTCAAGGTATTGTGAGTTGGGATCATGCATCTCCTAGGGTATTGATTTTGGGGGAGTAGGGTTGATGAGGATGTCAAGGATTTAAGTGGGAGACTTTGTGTGACAACCTGTGCCACATGGACAAAGAGTGATATTTGTGAGCTTCTTGTAAAGCCTTATTAATAACTTCCACCATGGTTATTAAATTGATGGGGAGCATCTTCAACAGATTCTACAAAAACGGAGATTTTGGAGTTTTCATCACGTTTTTTGTTTCAACAGATTCTTTAGTAATTTCTCCAAAATTAAGAAATTAGGAAAGAGGCAAAATAGTATCCAAATTTGGAGAACTCTCCAATTTTTTTGTGAAGAGAGAGAAATGTCTTTTTTATTGTTTCTACCAATGAAGTTGGTTGAGTTATCACTTTAGATAGAATTTATTTGAAAATTTCTTGGGATATTAAATGTATTGAATATTTTAGTAATATAATTAATGTTGAAATATCTAAAATGGAGCAAATGTTGGAGTTGAATGTCATTCTTTTTTGAGATTTTATTTGCTTCCCCATTTTGGAGAAATTATAGGGATCTTGTTGGTGATGCTCTTAGAAGTTATTTGGTTAGTCTATTGCTTTGGGCTAGGGATGTTACAATTCTCTCTGGATGCAAGTTGTGGCCCTTACTCGTGTATGTATGATACACGCATGCCACCGCCCTGTGATGATATAAAGGAGTAGCGCTCATGCATCAAGGAGGAATTTGACTATGCTTGTGGACTTCGAACCATGCTAAGTGGCGGCAAAGTCTTTATAGGAGGCCCCAATCCCTCTCTCTTTTCCATAAGTGGTGCCTAAAGTTCTTTGTTGGAGAGATATTTTTTCTCTCCTTTATAGAAAGGGAGGTAGATTTCCATCAAGCAGCTTATCGTGCCCCTTTGTAGGTAGCAATGTAGTGGTATAACAAGGTTGTTTGGATGAGCATGGTGAATGTGCATTTAGGCCTTTAACGCTTGGCCAGGGCTTGTTGACGTGTCTCTAGGTCATTCTTGTGCACATCAAATAAACTAATATAATTTCATCAAATCTAGTATGCTACAACTGGTTCTATTTTACAATTTATGTTGAAAGTTGAAATCTAGTAATTTTACATTCAAATTTTACGGCAACACTTTTCAACTTTTTAGCTTGAAGTGATGGTTAAAATGAACTTAGTTACGATTTAATATATAATTAATTGTTTGGTTGCAACCATTTTTCTTGTTGCATATAATATTGACTTTATGATGTTAGAAGTTTCAAGTATTATCTGTGAGAAATAGTTTAATGCTATTTTAATATGTTTGTTATTTTAATATTAGTTAAAATCATATGCTTTTGTATATAAACCAAACTAAACGAACCCATCATGCCCCCCTCGTAGGTAGGGTCAGGAGGGGGGGGGGGATGAATGCAGACCAGTCTTTTAGGTAAAGCGGCCTTTCTGTGAAGACCTCCGGCTTGCGAAAACTGTGTTTGTGAAAAAGTTGACTTGAGAGTTCCAAAAAGCTAGCCGAAAAGCTTTAATATTATATCTATACCTGGTTGGGCATGATCTCTGAGGGAGTTTAACTTTTAGGAATTAATTGCGTTATTCAAATCTCCTAGTTAATTTAGGATAAGTCTTTGATGCTGTTCTAGTTGGATTAGGATTCAGTCAGATTACCTTCTTTATTTTAAATATCCTAGCTTGTTCTCCAAGAATATTTGGCCTCTAAGTAGGACCCTTTTGTAACTTTAGAAATCAGCTTTTAATACATTGAATTGATAAATTTTCGGTTTTTGAGTGGATTCTCAAATATCTGGGTTCATCCCCTTTTCCGTTCTGCATCACTAATTGAGAATCTCATTTCACTAAGACAGAATCATGCATATGGTATAGGGCAGGCTTGTGGAAGAAAAAGGTTGAATAGTATTTATACTTCAGACATATATACACTATATATATAATCCAGCACAATAATAAATATGGTTGTTCTTTTCAATTAATAAGCATCTGACCATATTTGTATAAAATTGTTACCCATCATATCTTTTGTCCTTCAATGTCAGGTTTTGTACAAGAGCAGATGCGACTCTAGACTAAATGAGATCACAGAAAGGGTTTCCACTGATAAAAAAGAGGTATTCCCTTCGATTGATTGCACGGGCATAATCTTCTCATATAATTGCTGTTTTCTGGATTACTATCATCAACTTGTTTTCCAGGTTGAATCACTGTCAAAGAAATACGAAGACAAATACAAGCAGGCTGGAGATGTAGCTTCTAAGTTGACTATTGAGGAGGCCACTTTTCGTGATATTCAGGTTTACTTTGAGGGATTGAGCTCAAATAATTCTTTTCTTGATTCTTATAACGAAGTTCGTTTCTCCAAAATTTATGTTGCTGATGAGATATTTGATAAATTATAATAGGAAAAAAAGATGGAGCTTTATCGAGCAATAGTGAAGCTAGAACAGGATGGGAAACCTGAAGATATCCAGGTATTTTGTATTCTGATTAGTTTTGCTATAGATTTTTTGTTCCTTCTTGTGGATGATTATAACCCCATGTTCCCCAACTGTGTAGGCTCGTGCTGATCGCATTCAAGCAGATCTCGAGGAGCAAGTAAAATCATTGAATGAGCGCTGCAAAATGTATGGATTGCGTGGGAAACCAACGTCGCTGGTTGAGCTGCCTTTTGGTAATTTCACATTCACCATGTGTTGTTTCACTGTTTTGTTTGCTAATCATCTTTTCTGTTTAATATTCACATTTAGAATCATGCTTCATTGTGTTTGGTGCCAACCAAATATAAATAATCTCTTAACCAGCCCATCAAATAAGACCTATCACAAAAATACTTGCTACAGTACCTATTGATTATAAAACATGAGTTTATACAATTGTTTAGTATCTTCCCACAAATTAGTAAATTAGACTTTTCTATTTAAACATTGGCTGTTTGCATGTTTCCTCCATGTCATAACTCATAACTAGAGTGTGCTATTTGAACCAAGGGTAATTCCTCTTCTTTGCTATTTTACTCTCATGCCAGCATCAAATTGTTGACATCTATTGACTGATCCCTAATAGTAAAAAAGAGTACTGTTTTTAATTACTTCTTATTCGCCTATACTTGCCATATGTTCGTTTTCTCCATCAACACTGGTAAAGTTGCACTCTTGCACAGTTGCACTTCCCTTTGTTTTTGCTTGACCTAAAATCTCTGGATTCTAAATTGTTCCTTCAAACCTCTAACTCTGCATGTACACCATTTTCTGCTTTCCTAAATCAACGCTATATCATCAGCAAAAAGCATACACCATGGTATATCATCTTGTATGTCTATTTTAAGCTCATTCATAACTACAACAAGAGACAAGGCTGCCTGTTGCTGTTATCCCATAACTGTAGGGAAAACATCTCACCCGTCACATGCTTTGAAGCTTAATACCATTTAGCAAGCAGTCATACATATGTTTGAACACATTAACATATGTTCTTCTTCTGAAGAGCTCATCTATTATCTCTCATGATGATTGTATCATGAGCTTTCTTTAGATCAATAAATGCCGTATGAAGATCCCTTTTTTTGTGTCCTATCTTTTCTGAGATTTGTCCAAGAAAGATGATAACCACTGTTGATATCCTTGACGTATGATCAAATTGATCCTCCGACATTTTTAATCAATCAATGCTCATAATATGTCCCATATTTTCATTGTATGGCTCGTAAACTTGATCTTTGCAGTTATTTGTGCTCTTGTTCATGTGGCATTCTCTCTCTGGATAAAATTAAATAATCTCTGCTCCATACCATGCGTACCTCTTCAAGAACCTTCAGGACTATGTAGGAATACTATCAGAACCTAGAGAACTACCTACTTCATTTTTCTTAGCACTTCCTTCACCTCCAACACTTTGATGCTATGTACAGCACTTTTACTGGTATTATAAAGATTTCTCCTACATTCTCTTCAATAATTTCATTGACTCATCAAAACAATATCTTCATCAAGTTTGCCTACTGTTGGTCTATGTATTGTTAAGCAGCCTGTTTCAATGGAGGCTAACGGGATTGCTCTGTCAGTCCTTTTGATTTTGTTTATTTTATCTAGCTATTCATATGAAAATGAAACCAAGTGAAGTTTAGATAGTTTAGCATAAAGAAATAAAAGAAAACAAAATTAGAGTCATCCATAATTATTACCCATTTTTTTCTTTCTTTCCTTCATTAAAATGGTAATCATCAAAATGCTCACACAAACATCAGAAGTACATTGCCTGTACAGTGCACCTACAACACATTTTGGTACTTCGACTTGCCAGTTTTCTAAGCATTTGTATGCATTTGACATATGGTTTTTCGTGATTTGAGAGCGCTTCTTTGTTTCCCTTGTCTTTTTTCATGTCATCAATTGTAGAATACACAACCAATTACAATGGACTATATTTTTTGTACCATTTTGGCCCTAATTTTCAACAATATCAACCATATTGTCCATAAAAAAATTTGCAGCCAATAAAAAATACATTTTTTCCAATGTGAAGGAAATGGAGTAATAAATGAACTAAATTTACAAAACACTCTCTTCAACCTCCTGAATTTTTTAGCAGCTCCTATATATCCTCTTCCTCCTCCCAGTTTATTAGTTGGGGTATGGTGCATATGATAAAAGGTAATCTCTTTTATGTTTCTTTCCTGTCTCATCCCCTCTCTCATCCTCACTTTCAGTTTTCCCCCACTTTTTTTTTTCAGTAAGATATATTTTTTTCAAATGTGACTAATTTTTTGTGATGATAGATTATTTAAAATATTGATGACATGAATGGAGTCATATTTGAAAAAGTTTATACTCCGGAAAAGAGTACTTGAAAAATAATTTCGTATAAAGCTACTCATGTTTTGAAATTTTTGTCTGTCATAAAAAGTCACATAAAATAAAAATGGTTGTCTTGAATCAAGTCCATTTTCAAATAGTTTGTAGTTATTAAAATCCATAACATAAAATGTGACTGGTCTTTTTTCTTTTAATTTGTCGTTACAGAACCCCCCATGTTTTAAAATTGGTCATAAAAGGAATAATCATTTGAAAAATTTGGCATTTTGAAATCAATTAAATTGTTTGACAGAGAAATTTGTCGTCACCTCTTAAAACTTGTCATTACACAGTACGGGATTTGATGTTTTGAAACATGTTACATTTAAAAAAATTGTTTCGATAAAACATATATTTTCAAATTTTTTGTTAGATTTTCTTCTTTGTTGATATCAATGTTAACTTTCGTTTGATGTAAGAACATGTGCTAATCATTGGCCAAGTGTAAATGTTGTGAAGTTTATCATCTGTATTTCCTTTTTCCTTGTAAATTTATTCAGGTTGGCAACCTGGTATTCAAGATGGAGCTGCTGATTGGGATGAACACTGGGATAAATTTGAAGATGAAGGTAAGCAGAGTACCATATTATCTTTCTGCTTGCTTGGCTTTCAGGCATACCTAGTGTTATCTCTTTAACTGCCATGAATATGATAAATTTTGCATCTTTATGAAACTTGCAGGATTTACATTTGTGAAAGAGCTCACACTTGATGTGCAAAATGTTATAGCACCTCCCAAGCCAAAGTCCTTACCACTTCAAAACAAATCTACTTTCCGGGATAATGGTTCAACTACAGTTTCAGCTTCAGATGCTAATCATAAACCTGAGAAGTTGACAGTGGCTGAGGACAAAACACCAGATAATGAATCGACTGAGCAAAAGAAAGATAGCTCCGGAAAAACTCCACCTGATAGCCCGGCTAGCAGGAATGCAGCAGAAACCCCACCTAAGATATTCCAGGACGTCTCAGTCGAAAAGAACACTGGTGAAGATAATTCACCTCATGCCATAAAGACCCAGAGGTACTGGATTATTTGTGCCACATGTTCCTATTTGGATCGTAACTCTAGATTTTGGTGTACACTAACATGTTGCTAAAAGAGGTATGCTCTAATGATATTCGTTTTCTTTTACTGCTGCAGTAAACATTTGGATACCCAGACCGGTGACAAAGCTTTTGATGAGGCAGGCTGGGGTACATTTGATACTCATTATGATTCAGATGCAAATTGGGATTTCAATGCTACAAAATCTAAGGTATATATCTCTCTACAAAAGATATCTTTTTAACCAATTGTTATAAGATCTAATGGTCTGATCATAGAAGACCTGAAAGATTGCTACAGAGATACCGCCTGTGTCATATGTGGATGTCCTTCTGGTCCAAAACACTGAATTAATCCCACACTTGAACCCGATCCCTGCTATTCATAAGTTGTTGAAATATCAGAGCTTACACTATAGTGGAGTTCTGCTGGAAACTTGCCCTCTTGTTTTTGCAAGTATGGAGCTTATGTGATTTTCTTGCCAACATCCCCCCCCCCCCAAAAAAAAAGAAACAAAACCATTATCAGCCATTTTGCAGTGGTTTTGACACTATCCTCTGGAGCATCACCCATATTGGTCCCACTGCCATGATGGGGAGGTAAAAAAAACAAAACCATAGCACTGCTTGATTAGTTTTGGCCTTTTGGGTCATGAATCTTTTGGTAATTTGGTCGAGGAACTGAAATTTTGGCTTCTATAGTAATACCAACTTTGTAATTATCTTATTCTGAAGATTGGGGATATATAATATCTTAACTTATATCTCTGGAATTATATCTAGGCCATGTTTGACAACCATAAGCTAGCTTATTTTCTGAGCTTATTGATAAAGCTCCGTTAAGTATGCCATGAGATAGCTTATAAGCTAGATTTTTGAAAAGCTACTCCAGATAGCTTATTGGAGCTTTTTTTCATTTTTTCCAACTATGCCCTTTATATTTTATGTAATACCCCTTATATTTTCCTTTTAGGTCAATTTACATAGTCAATCTAGCTTATCAGCTAGTTTTTACCAAAGTGACTAGTTTAACATATAACTTATGAGGCATTAACTAGCTTTTCAACCAACATCTAGCTTATCACCTAGTTTGCTAAAATGTAGCCTCAGTTAATGCTAATGATGGTCATAATGATGTTGAAATTATGTTTTCCGAGGCTTTTTATTTATTCGTACTTGTAAATCGATCTTTTGCAGGATATTGATCAAGAGAGTAAACATGAAAATTCCTTCTTCGATTCTTCTGATGGATGGGGCCTAAACCCTATAAGAACGGAGGTTCCCAAGAAGGCCGTATTTGATTCTGTTCCCGGCACACCTGCTTATAGTTACGCTGGCTCCCCACCCGGAGACAGTTTGTTCCAAAATCGGGGCCCGTTTTCTTCCGCTTTTGCAGATTCCGTTCCCAGCACCCCTGCCTACAGTTATGCTGGCTCTCCTCGAGGATCTTTCCAGCAACCGTTTGCTTCGGTTTTCGCAGATTCAGTTCCAAGCACTCCTATGTTTGCCACCGACTCACCTCGAAGGTTCAGTGACGGGACTGAAGATCACTCATTCAGCAACAACTTTTCGAGATTTGATTCCTTTAGCAGCAGCACTGCTACTCATGATGGTGGACTTTTTCCACCCCGTGACTCCTTTGGACGATTTGATTCTTTCCGCAGCACGGCCCAAGATTCCGAGTATGATCAAGGATTCTCCCAACCACAATCGGTCGCTAGATTCGATTCGATACGCAGCTCCGCCGACTCTGATTTTGGTCATTCACTGTTCCAGCCTCAAGAATCATTCTCGAGATTCGATTCCATGCGAAGCACTACCGAGTCATCCGACTTCAATCATGGATTCCCCTCGTTTGATGATGCAGATCCGTTCGGATCAAGCGACCCCTTCAGATCACACGATCCGTTCAAGACAGCGGTGGAGAGCGAAACCCCGAGAAGAGATTCGGTAGACGGTTGGAAGGCGTTTTAATCTCGTCCATCCATCGATTGTAGTCTGTTGTTGGCCCTTGATATAGGTATATGCATATAGGTAAGTCTGGCTTGTTTGTTTGTTTGCTTGCTTGCTTGCTTGTTGTTTGATTTGAGTTGAAGGTGGACATTGTGCTTTAGAACCATCATTCTTTCTTTCTATCTTTTGGTATGGATTCATTTTCTGTTTTACCTTTGTAAACTTGCACTCATGTTCATCATTTTTGTAAGATTTTCCTTTTTTACTTTTTTAAGCCAAAAATTGAATTATACTAAAATTTTGGTTTAAACATGCATTGACCTCCAAGGAAAGCACATTAGTATTAATCCCCTCCTGCTGCAGGGATTGGAATATCCGGATTTAGGCTCTTGTAACCTTTTCGTAGAATGAAGGCTACGCACCGACGCTATCTTCGAATGGATAGAACAGATGCTCCAACTACATAAATTTTTCCTTCGTTAAGTCGACTGTCTTTTCACAGGATCCTCCCTCGCCACCACCACCACCATAAATGGAGGTAGCTAGATGTAAAAACCAATTCTTGATTAGGTTTCAAGAATCCATTCCAACAAATCATTCACAAACCTCAAATTTTTGCCTTGTAACCAACCTGATTCTCTAGCAAGACACTCAACTACTGAATTCCAAGCAATATAATTGGGAACATTACCTTTTTCCACCATCTCCATAAACAACATCAACCCTTTGTGTACATCTCCTCTGTTGCAGAATTCATATATCAAACGACTGTAACTTCCCGAATCACTCAACCAACCTCTTCCAACCATATCCTCCATAAATTTCATCGCGCTTCCAATTTTACCCTCTTCACACAGCCTATCAACCAAACCATTAACTGTCAATCCATCAGGAACATAACCACAGGATAACATTTCCTTCATCATCTCCAATGCTTCTCTTAACAAGTTTTCTTGAGAAAGACTTTGAATCAAAGTTATATAAACAAGAATGCTCGGGATGCATCCTTCTTGAATCATCTCATCGTATATCTTTTTCGCGTTTCCAATTCTACCCTCCTCACAAAATGTCAGTATCTGCCTGCTTCTATCAACGGCTCTAGGAAATTTCGTTGCCATCTTGGTTAAAATGTCTAGAGCCTCATCCATTCGGTTTGCTTTATAGAAACCATATATAATGCTGTTATAAGGTCTTATATAACCCCCCAATGAACCACTCCTGCTTTCTTCCATCAGTTCCAAGATCTTATACCCATCTTCTATCCTTCCTCCTGAACATAATCCATAGATTAATGTATCATATGTAGTGAAATTCCAAGTGATCCCAACTGTTTTCATCTCATTGAACATGTCGAGAGCTGAATCAAACATACCCAACTCACAGAAGCCGGATATCAACGCGTTATAAGTGTCTGCATTTGGAAGACATCCCTTCAGCTCCATCTCCTTTAAAAACCTGCGTGCAGCCTTTGCTTTCTTCATATTACAGAAACCCTTTACTAGAGTGTTATAAGCCACCACATCAATCTTACCACCTTTCTTCTCCACCCTTTCTAAAACGTCCACTGCTTCCATGGCACGATCCTTGCTACATAGAATTTCAATTACTTTAGTCATGGTAATGACGTCAGGAACAAACCCAAGATCAAAACATTTTTCTAGCATCACAAGTGCTTGTACTAGATTCTCTTCTTTACAATATGCAGTTATTAAAATATTAAAAGTAACACTGTTTGGATCCACCATTTCATTCATCAAGCTCCTAGCTCTCCCTATCCCAAGTTTCCCATTCTTGCAAAGAGCATGCACTAGTGTGTTGTATATAACAGTGTTTGGTGGCACACCCTTATTCTTCATCACTTGCAAAAGCTTAAAAGCGTCAGCTATCCGATTTGTTAAGCAAAGACCCTTCATCAATATCCCGAAAGTGTACATATCGCCTTTAACACCGCACCCCATCATCTTCCTTCTATAAAAACCTCGGGCTATATCGATATCTTCCTTAACAAGAACATCAAGTATCGAGTTGTAGACTTTCAGGGTGGGTGGTTGTTTGAATCTTGAAACCAAGTCAAGAACTTTAATCACTTGTCGAACCATTCGGGCTTTCCCTAGTCCACGAACAATGGTGACAAAAATATCATCATCTGGTGGCGACCCGATTGAGCTGGGCATTTCATCAAGCACTTGGGGGACGGTGTCGAAATGCTGGAAAGTACAGAGCTTGTGGACGAGAGCTCTGTAGGTGGATTGGCTGTGGACGAAACAGGGGAGTCTGGATGCCCATCTGAATGTATGAAGAGCTTCGGATGCTGACTTTTGATCTAATATGAGGTGGGAAATTTGGTCATGGGTGGGAACAGGGGAGTTGGTGGATATGAACCTTGATTGACAATGGCGAAGTTTATAATTGCTTTTTGACGTGAAGAACACGGGTAGATTCTTGGAGAAATTGAGCATGAATACAAGGATGAAAAAGAATGAACTAACAAACAGATATATTTCAAATTCCGACTGAAGGTACCTCTCAATTAACTGAAAAAGCAAATGATAACCGATTCCATAACCAGTATCTACAACCGTCATTCTTCTCGCCGTTGCATCGTTTTCATTCTTGCCGGTGGCGGTGGGCTTCGCAACCACGAATGAAAAGAGTTTCCGGTGGCTGTTTGCAAACTTCAGAAGTGGATCAAGAAACTACGGTGGTTCAACGTTTATTAATAATTAATTCTTTATTATAATCTAAATATTTAGATTTAAGATAAAAACATTTTTTTAAATGACTAATTATTTAGTCAGCAGTAGCAGTTGACTTTATTTCGAGAACCCATAAAATTATTATAACGTTAAGAACTTATGCATCATGTGATATTTGATTAACATATATTTGTTTCACAATGTATTTGTTTTACATGTATTCGGTTCATAATGTGAAACTTTTTGGAATGTTTGTGAAACACAAAATACACATAAAAAAGTTTCACATTGTGAATCAAGTACATGTGAAACAAACACACTGTAAAACAAATATACATTAAGTACTATGTCTAGATAGAAAAAAAAAAGTCAAATAAAATAACACATGAGGCATAAATTCTCAAGGTTATTACAATTTCATGTGATCTCAAATAATTAAGTCCCGTTAGTAGTATTGAATGTATATAATATATTAAAATATTTTTATAAGTTAGTTTTATAAAATTTAAATATAAAAGACTACAAAGTTACATGAACATCTGAATGCATGTTAAATTTGTTAAGACTGAAAGAGAGAAAACTTTAAGAATTGTGGAATAATCCTCAGCATTTATTGAGCAATTAAAAAAACAAAACTAAAACCAGCAAGCCAAGAGATGGTGTAAATTTCTTTAAATTAAATGTTTATGATCCAGAAAGAATATTTAGGAGTCAACGCTATAATTTATTTTACCGGATAAAATTGTAGTACATCAAAACGGTATCGTATGCAACAATTTACCCTGATAAGAGTCGTTACCCTCACTTACCGAATAAGACTCTTCATCTTTATCATTGAGAGGTAGCCATTGCATCCTCTACCTTCTTAAAGACCATTTCTAACAAATTCTCCAAAATGGACAAAACGAGGATTTCGACAATTTTTTGCTCCAACAGATTCTCTAAAACGGAGAAAGTAAAAAAAAATGGTGTAAATTTCTTTAAATTTTGAGATCTCTCCAAAAATGATTAACATGAGGAAAAAAACGATTTTTTTTATTATATTCCACCGATAGATAACCTTGAAATGAAATGTTTATGAACGAGAAAAAATATTTAGGAGTCAACGCTATAATTTATTTTACCGGGTAAGATTTTAGTACATCAAAACGGTATCGTATGCAACAATTTACCCAGTAAGCACTTACCCGGATAAAAGTCGTCGCCCTCACTTACCGAGTAAGACTCTTCATTTTTATCATTGTTCTTATCGGGTAAGATTTTTTACCCTTGTCATGTTCATCCGGTAAGGAAAGTTACCCGGTTAGCACTTTCCGATATACGTTTAGTAAACGGCCTCTAAGGCAATTCATAAGGCCTTAAAGTTAACATAGAAGTAAACTCGGGTGATATCGAGAAGGCTCGAATAGGAGACCATTCGAAAGCAAACTCAAAGTCTTACCAGTTACGTTATTCAAAATTATGAGCAACATCGTATAGAAACCGAAGAACACACGTTCATGTCAACGACGAATCTTGGATCTACGACACAAGAACAATAAATGATTCGAACGCATTGCCAACACGTTATTTCAAAAATCAAACCGAAAAAGGGAACCCGTAAAAACTATTTAATCCAGTTCCTTCACTACCTTAATCCCCATAGAATTAGCCGTACCTATGATCGATCTCGAAATCGCCTCTAGCGACATATACTGGCAATACGGATCCGATTGTTTCACCTTCGCAATCTCGTAGATGTGTTTTAATGTTAGCCTCGATGCAACAACGTGGCCTGGCATTCGGCTTCCCGACTCGATTCCTGCAGCCTTTTTCAAATACCATGTGACCGAAGGTGATCGAACGCTAAGCTCGAACGTATTATCTGTAAAAACCTTTACCGTTGTGGCGATCGGAGTGTCGGGCTTAAATTTTTGGGTTTTTGCATTGAAATCTTTGCAGAATGCAATTATGTTTAGCCTGTATTGACCAATTGCCGGACCAACCGGTGGTCCCGGTTTTGCTCCTCCGGCTGGAACGGTGAGTCTGACGGTTGCCACCACCGGCCGCCACTTCAAGATCTCCTTCAACGTAGCCATTTTTAGATCATTGGCAGTGTTGTTCCGAGAAGAGCATAAAATTAGATGAGTCGTTAGGATGCAACCATACCAGCAGATATATTGCCTACAAATTCAATCAATTTGGTTTTTCATTTTACGAGTAAACTACTATTTTAGTCCCTGTAGTTTGATATTTATAATGATTTTCGTCCTTATGGTTTAAAATTTAGTTTTTCAGTCACTGTGGTTTCTATTTTGTTTCCATTTTCGACTCTGCATCCTTTCGAAAAATATCTTATAAAAATAAGGTGACGTTTATTTTTTAAAAGATGTTAAAGTTTGAAGTCTGATTTATAAGAGGTGGTATCAGTAAGACTGTTTGTTTTTATGAAGATTGAAATTTGAATCGGTCAAACTAGTGTAAAAATATAAAGATATTTACAAAAGTATAAAAGATAAATAGTTTTTGTTAACATATCTCTTCCAACCCCCAAAATATAAACCATTTGATAGAGGGAGGATTAGGATTAACAGGTATTAAATGATACATTTACTACTTAAAATTTTGGAGGACATTTAGAGCTTTTAAGCTCTTATTTAGAAAAAAACAAACCTTCTTGATACCCAAACATCAGAACGAATTAGACTTCGGAGGTATTAAGTAACATTTTTTAAGAAAACAAACAGACCCTAAATGTCTTCTGAAAAAATGTGTTCATAGGACAATTCTAAAAAATTCCCAATAAAAACTACTATAACACTTTATTTGGTGAACCAAAAACCCATGTTAATTTTATTTAAAAATTACATAAATCTGAATAAGAAATTGATATAAAATTGTCATGTCCCAAAAGCAAATCAACCTCGATTCTTAATAATCCATATCACTTGTGGTTTTATTGTAACAAAAGATTCCTTTTTATGTATCAAAACTTATGGTGGACCAAATCTAAGGAGGAATAAAAATTTTTTTATGGCCACGGAAGTTTAAATGTGGTGACTCCAGACTATCTGCAAAGCAGATGGTCATCCTGGGATTAGTCGGCTTGCATAGCAAGTTGGATATCCAGATTAATAAAAAACAAAAAATGTAAGGTTGGAGAAAAGGGGTAATAGGTAACAGTTATATTATTTATGCCAGTAAATTACAAGTGTACCCCTTTGTATATCAAGAAATCTTGGAAAAGATGACTACTTAGAGCAAAAATTGACATATCAGAAACTTGAAATTACAAGTTTTATTATCTTGTAACATAAAACCAAAAATATGTATATCAAAAATAATAAATGGAAGACTAGTGGTGCAAAAATTTTGTACAACTTCTGCTAGAAACTCAACAATATGGAAGTCAAAATCTCGCAAGTAAGAGCTCTTCTGTTTCAAATCCGTAGTGCCCAAGCTGCTTTAGACACTCACAGTTACCGAAAAAGCTGACAGTGACCCCGGTGTTGGGGGCATTTGTTTGCTTTTTCACACGTTACCCAAAACACCCTTTAGAACATCCAGTCCTTCGGCCGATATGCTCCTCCGCCTGTGCATTTTCGGTATTTCGATCTTCGGTGGCGGGTCCAACGAGAAACAGACCACCACGACCGTCAGATTATCGCAACTATTCCGCTTCGAAGCCTCTCTGACGAGTTCTCGAGAGCATTTTTCCGGATCGTTATGTAGCATAAGTTCCTTTCTTACAATCGTCACTGCGTATTGGCTGCTCATCACGTCCCACAAACCGTCACACCCAATGATCAAAAACTCATCTTCTTCGTTTAAGGTTACTTCTTCGAGCTCTGGCTCCGCGCTCAACGGACCATCTGAACCTTTTGGTCCCTTCATGTGCCAGTCTCCTAGTGCACGTGCTACCGATAGTTGACCGTTGAGATAGCCGTCGTAAATCACGCCGCCAAGCTTCTCGATTCTCTGCTTCTCGGATGTGCAGCTTGGTTTGTGGTCTGTTGAGAGTTCGATTGCTCTTCCTCGCTTGCCTAGTACAGCTCTCGAGTCCCCAGCATTTGCAATTAACATATTTCTGTCAATAGGCAAAATCATCAAAAATCAATATATACATACTATCATAGATGTGGAACCCTTTGAATCTCTAAGTAAAAGAGCCTTTATAGAGAGAAGAGAGGTTTTTACATACATATATATACACAGAGAGAGAGAGAGTCGGGTTCAAACTCAAACAATACCTATTTTAAGAGAATAAGACAACGGCCCAATCACATGTGATTCACGAGACTTTGCTCCACGACCTGGAGTCACTGCCAAAGTCTTCTGCACACCTTTTTTTTACCGTTAATGTAAAATCACATGTGATTTTGCACGTGATTTGGCTGTTTTCGTATTCTTTTAAATAGTTAGCATTCTCCTTTGATCCTCCCTCTATATATATAGTCATACATATTTGATGGTCCGTATTTAGCTGATGTGACGCTCCCAACACGACCCCTCAAGCGAAGGCTAGAGGGTTCCTCCATGAATGGAGGCAAAAGAGTGTGTCGAGTCCCTAGGTGGTGCTAGACCTGGCCCTGATACCATCTAAGGATATGTGGCACTTTTCTGAATCTCTCTCTAAAAGAGCCGAGGGAGGTTTCTACATATATACAGGTTTGATGATTTGTGTGTAGCTGATGTGATACTCCAACACCCCTATCCCACGAAAATATAGAAGGGAGGGAGATCTAATAGTATTTTCTTCAACCTCCCAAGTTTCGTGGCTGTTTCAAACTTCCAATGAGGTGGCCAAAAACCAAAATGGAAGTTGAAGAATCTCTAATATAATCTATGCCCCATCATAAAACTTCTTGACAGATGCCAAATGATGCGGTGCACTTGATGGTTCAACCACCAGACCTTGTTTCAAATGTGTGGTTCAAAGACCAAAACCGTCACAAAGCGAGCATAGAGGATATTACGTAAATCAAACCAAACGAGGCGAGGTCTAGGGGTGAAATGTACGCAGATCCGACTTCTACCCCAAATAACCAAACGGTTGTTCCTAGAGGGTACTTAATTAAACGAAACCAAACTAGTCTAGCATATCCCACCCAGAGTTGAGGTCTAAGGGTGAGATATACGCAAACTCGATCTCTACCCCAAAGAATAGACCAGTTGTTCCTAGAGGGTACTTAATTAAACCAAACCAAACGAGTTTAGTTTATCTCACCCCGAGGTGAGGTCTAGAGATGAGATGTAGGCAGACTGACCTCTACCTCAAAGAATAGAACAGTTGGTTTCAACAGGGTACTTAATTAAACCAAACCAAACGAGTCTAGTATGTCCCACCCAGAGATGAGGTTGAGGTTTGAAACAAGAATAGAGCGGTTATTTCCTAGAGGGAACTAAAAGATGAAGCCCCAATTGCATAACAGGGAAACACAATAAGAGCATCCAATTACATTAAGATAAAGTGACTGGTGGCTTTTGGCCCAACTAGTACCATCAAGTTCTTCATGAACTTGTGGGTGCTCAAGATTCGTATCTACAATACAGTTCTCTTTCTAGAAGTCTTAACATTCAACATGTAACATCTCAATCCAGTCAGGATCATACAAATCTATGAATTTTGGTTATTAAAAATGATCATATGTAAAATAGCTAGCTTTTTACCTTCCCAGAATGAGGGCAATCAAAGCAGTAGTTCCAGAGGAATTATCGAGAGATCTAGTGTCGGCTAATGCATGATCAACTTTGGCAAAAGCATTCTTGACCGCCTTCTTTACCGCCTTTGGGAAGCTAGAGTCCTCAAGAATGAACTCAAGAATGTTTCTTTTGGTAAACGATGCAGCATCAATGCCACCATGTCCATCAAACACCTGAAATAATTAGAATTGTATTGAGGGTTACAGACTACTTACTCTACTTGCCTTCTTGGGCTATGTTTGGCAATCTAGCTGATAAATAAACTAGTCATGTTCGGTAAAAGCTAGATGACTATGTAAAATGACTTTAAACGGACGTGTTGTAAATTAGTTGGAAAAAGAAGTGGAAAAAAACCCTTGCAGCTTACTAAAACGCTACTTGAAAGTAGCTTTCTAGGTTCTAAGCTAGCTTAAGGCCAACCAAACGAGTTTTTTTTCTATAAGCTTAAAACATAAGCTAGCTAACGATTGCCAAACATGGTGTTGATCCTTCATTTCGAGAATTAGTAATGGTAGATCAAATTCAGTTACCCCATAAAAAGCTCCATGAAAAGGGTAATCCGGTTGTGTATCTAAATGTTCTCGAAGATCATCTACACAAATATATTCGTCCTCCATGTATGGTTTTGGACCCATCTCAGAACAGCTTCCTGAACGAAAGACAGGCAAATATGGAGATCTCTCGTTTTGCTGTGACTTCAGTCCAGTACCTTCGTTTGTTGATTTCTTTACAAGTAGCAAAAAAAAAGTATAATTAGAAATTGTGAAAGATGTAAGAGGATTGATCCTCATTTAGCAACATTATAAGCACATTACTAAATGTGGAAAGAATAGTCTTCATTAATCATAGTGATCTTGATAGAATCCTAGTAATCTAATCTCACATTCAAGCCTAATTGAAGTATGTTCCGAGATTTTTAACCAATAAATCCAAAATTTAGAGCTGGGATCTCTTCTTGATGGAAATAATCATAGTGTATCTATGAATTTATACATTAGCAGTTTGTAGTTCTTTGACTCCAGATCAATTAATGCTTACGAATTAAACTCTAGTCTCAAATTTCAAAACTCCCCCAAATCAACAATTCATGAATTGATCCTCAAACATAGTATTCTGAGAAGCCACATGAAGTAAAAGTGTAGCACAGTGATATCTATTACTTGAATTGCAAAGGAGAATCATGAAAATTGGATCTTGATTTCACTGAAAAAATAAGAGAAATGTGGTTAATTTTTCTTAAGAACAAAATACTCACCGAATCAGAGGTGCCAGCCAACATTGCCTGGCTGATACAATGCCGCATTGGCTGAAGATTCCGTGGAGGCTTAGCAGCCTTTGGTTGGTTGATGTTATCTGAATCCTCAGGCTCTTCATCTTCTTCCATTGCAGGAGCACATTCCTTTGAATACCCAATATCCAATGAAGTACATTGAGGCCACACATCAGTCCCAGGACCCATTTCACCTTTCTCTTAATCCATCAAACACTTGGTATGCAAACTATATAAATAGAAAACTTTAACTCAACCTGGACAGTTCATGAACAGCCCATTTTGTCTTACAGCATACAAACAGCTGTATAGCAGTTAATCCCCGATCCATAAACAACCAACAACAGTAGCACAATAATCCATTTCTTTAAACAAACGGAAGGTGTAGGTTTTCCATTTTCTTGAAATTGGTGAAGCAACGATCAGACCCACATGCCAAAATAAGTTGATTTGTGAATTTTCTTCGTTTTTTATTCGAAAAATCAAGAAAAGATATGCATGGATGAAGTAAAATCCAGATAACGAAAGAGGGAAAATTGAAAAATTCAAGAAGAAAGTAATAAAGAAGATGGAGAGAAGGGATTCAATTACGGAAGCAAAGTAGTCGGAGAGAGAGGGGGAGAGGGAGGACCATTGAGAATTTTGGTGCTTGAGATGGGATCCATTTGTCCGTTAAAAAGGGTGGGTGGTGAGGTTAGGGGAGGAGGAGAGTGATGACACGTGGGAGACAGCCATGATCTTTCAGTTGACCTTGCAAACTAAAACAACATTTTGCGTTCCAAATACTTCTTTGCTCCGGACGTCCGTGCATTTAAAAGTCCGTACTTTCTTGTGCAGAGTTTATCGGTTAAAATCCAATAGATTTAGTTGGATCCGATCTGGTCTAATTATTCGATCCAATGCAATTAAGATCTAAGCCAATCACATTCGATGGAAAAGTGGACTGGATTAGTTTCATCATTGAATATTATCATTGGTTATCCATTTGATTGGATCAGATACATCTAATATTTGATACGATTTTTCAATCAATTAATCAACTATTCCAACCAATTATTTATATATTTTAAAGTGAACTATGGATTTGGTCTATTATAGTACATCGAAAATTATGACTAACATCCCTAAACTTGATTAATTATGGATTTGGTCCCTATAGTTGTTATTTCTTTTGGCTAGAGTTTCTGTCACTAACTGATTTTGTTAACTCAGTTACCTCAAGGGTAAAATAACCAAAATACTCTTGTTTTTGACTTTTTATATTGAAAAAAAAATAAAAAAAAAGTTAAAATAAATACATATATAATCTTTTTTATTTGTTCTTATATATATATACACACACATAAATACATATACACAGACACATACAACAAAAATTACTGGTGAAGTCATTGTCTCCGGTGAACCCCTTCCTGATCGAGGCTCCCCCTTCCCTCCCCTCCCCCATCAGACCAAAGCCCTTTACATAAAAACTAGTGTTTGACACCATGCGTTGCATGGTGACAATAATCTTTTTTAAAATTATTGAAGTTAGCTAAATGAGTCGATGATCACATTTATATATTAAACTAATAAGAATCAATATTATCTTTGATATATGAATCTACCTTATCATTACTGGTTGTTCTTTTAATATATATATATATATATATATATATATATATATATATAAAATTTAAATTACAAAAATGAAATCTTTTAACGATTAATGCGATTGAAAATATTTTAAAAATAAATAGAATTTGAAACAAAACTTTCAACAATTGTATGTTGAAAACATTTTAATGTAAAATAAGAATGAGAAAATAAAAGATGAATATGAAAAATGGTTTTTCATTAAACTTGGTTTCTCAATATTCCATGAGGAGTAGTTGTTGTCAACCAAACTCTAAAATAATTGTTAAAAACATATTGTTGGTTCTATTGAGAAAAAAAAACTTAAGAAAAATATAGAAGACATTAGTTAAAGAAAACCTCTAAAATCCTAACAAAATTAAGAAGAATTGCATACTCAGATTAATCGTCTTGAAATAAACCTGAAAAAAATATAACCATTAAAAAAGGGCATATTGAAGATTGGTGATGCTACATGAAAAATTGTAACAAAAAAACTTCAAAAATCTCAATAAAAGTCAAAAGGAAAGCATACACACATTAGTTTTCTTAAAGTATACTTGAAAAAGATAACCATTACAAAAATATGTTGAAATTTGTTGAGGCTACATCATGGTTTGTAATACTTCCAAGATTCTATCATCAGACGATTAATCGAACCATTGTTGCCATGAAAACTTTAGAAGTGTTGTAAAGAACAAACTCTCCGTTTCATTGAGAAAACTTAGGAAAATCATAGAAGAGAAAAGTAAAAAAAAAAAAACAAAATTCTAAAATCCCAACAAAAATAAAAAGGAACGCATACCTGAATTGGTCTTCTCGAAATAAACTTGAAAATAGATTTGTTGAAAAGTAAATCAAGTGATGGAGATGAAGAAAAATGAAATGAAAAATAAATCAAGTGATGGAGATGGAGAAAAAGAGATTGAATGATGAACATTTATGAAGAAGAGTTAGGGAAAATGAAAAGATTGTGTTAAATGCAAACATAAATGAATAATCAATGTTTATAAAAATTAGAATGTGAAACTAAAAAAAATTAAAGGAGAATGAATCAAAAAAAAGATAAATAAATTTCCAACCTTTAAGAGAAGCCAAGTCATCAACCTTGGTTTCTCCTTTAATATATATATAGATTATTTAAATTACAAAAATGAAATCTTTTAACGATTAATGCGGTTGAAAATATTTTAAAATAAATAGAATTTGAAAAAAAGTTTCAACAATTGTATGTTGAAAACATTTTAATGTAAAATAAGAATGAGAAAATAAAAGATGAATATGAAAGATGGTTTTTTATTAAACTTGGTTTCTCAATATTCCATGAAGAGTAGTTGTTGTCAACCAAACTCTAAAACAATTGTTAAAAACATATTGTTGGTTCTATTGGGAAAAAAAAACTTAAGAAAAATGTAGAAGACAATAGTTAAAGAAAACCTCTAAAATCCTAACAAAATTAAAAAAAATTGCATACTCGGATTAATCGTCTCGAAATAAACCTGAAAAAAAATATAAAAAAAGGCATGTTGAAATTTGGTGATGCTACATGAAAAATTGTAACATAAACACTTAAAAAATATCAATAAAAGTCAAAAAGAATATATACACACATTAGTTTTCTCAAAGTATACTTGAAAAAGATAACTATTACAAAAATATGTTGAAATTTGTTGAGACTACTTCATGGTTTGCAATACTTTCAAGATTCTATCATCAGACGATTAATCGAACCATTGTTGCCATGAAAACTCAAAAAGTGTTGTCAAAAACAAACTCTCCGTTTCATTGAGAAAACTTAGGAAAATCATAGAAGGGAAAAGTAAAAAAAAAAACAAAATTCTAAAATCTCAAAAAAAAAAAAGAAAGGAACGCATACATGAATTGGTCTTCTCGAAATAAACTTGAAAATAGATTTGGTGAAAAATAACAATTTATAAAATGAAAAACAAATCAAGTGAWAGAGATGGAGAAAAATGAAATGAAAACAAATCAAGTGATGGAGATGGAAAAAAAGAGATTGAATGATGAACAATTTATGAAGAAGAGTTAGGAAAAATGAAAAGATTGTGTTAAATGCAAACATAAATGATAATCAATGTTTATAGAAATTAGAATGTGAAATTAAAAAAAAGATTAAAGGAGAATGAATAAAAAAAAGATAAATAAGTTTCCAACCCTTAGGAGAAGCCAAGCCATCAACCTTGGTTTCTCCTTTAATATATATATAGATTCATTAAAGCCTTTACATCAAATCAAGCGAGATTTATTGGAATGTCCAAAATCCATATTGGATGAATCTGTGACAGTGTCGACATAGTTGGAATAGGAACAAAGTTGGGGTGGAGGAAAGGAAGAATGGTGAAGATTGTTGACCGTTAGGATGGATGGAGTATGGTGGTCACAATGGTTGTCTTTGAAGGTGAGAAGCAGGTAGGAGATGGGTGGTGGTCAACGCTGTAGAGGGGAAGGAGAGGAACAAAGTGGTGGTTGTTGGCGAAGAAGTGAGAACGACGACAATGGCAGATGATGGAGGCAATTGAAGGAAGATCGGGGTTGGGGGAGCCAGGTGAAAAGGTAAACGGTGGAGAGGGTTCACAGGAAAAGTAGGAGGGAGGATATTGGTAAGCTATGGCTATCAGCGAGAATGAGGAGGCAAAGGGCGGTGTAGGCCCATTCCTGACATTTTATAGGCCATGAGCGAGATGTAGAAAAGGGCATCCGATAAGTACAAAAAAGAACTTTAATATATTGTTTTTATCATAAGAAATGACATTGAGTTCAATAACTACTAATAATTCATACAAAACCGTTTTTCGAGTGTTACTAAATGCGAAATCAATCAATAATTATTTTTAAATTACTATTATCTATTATATCATTTTTACATAACATCATCAATATGTTCCACCATACAAAACATTCTATAATATACCTTGAGTATACAGATTGACATCGTTTGGGGTCACAATATTTACTATATATTTGGAGTATCACTCTATGCAAATCAATATAAATCAGTAGGGTTTTCCATCTCACCTCATGTTAATGTTTTTCATCAACATTCTAAACTTTTAGGCTTAAAACAAACTTTTTTGGCACCATCAATTTTAGAAATCAAAAGCCCATGTTAGTTATACGCTGAGATCTTATTCTTGTTTTAGTGATAGGATCATACTTATTATTTATGCACTTAATATTAGGTAATAAAGAGTCAATAATGTATAAAAAAACAAGAGTAATTTTGAAATTTTACATATAGATATATGTTGGACCATCTCATATGGTTGGTGATTCTTTCAAATAAAAAATAGGAGTTTTCTTAGTTGACAACAATAAATCTACTATATTCTGATACTAAGGGCATCTCCAGTGCATGACACTCTACCAGAGTGTCATGGACTGCCACATCAGYATTCCACTCACCATACAACTCTATCATTTTATACCCACACTCCATAACACTCCAATGAGTTTAATGGATTTCCACATCATATATATATATATATATATATTATCTATAAATAT